AGAAATTGTAAACATGAGGTATTTGGATGTTTGACAGGTGGTTATGCTAAATATGGTTACCAACGCCGTTGTTGAAAGAGAGACTCACCACCCACACGACGGGTAGGTCATCTACACACTGCATAGAGAGAGAGAGAGAGAGAGAGAGAGAGAGAGAGAGAGAGAGAGAGAGAGAGAGAGAGATGGTATTTCGGATAAGAACAGAAAGGTAGACGAGGGTTCTATGGAGGGAGGCAACTACCATGGTGACACAGACATAGACAATGAAAGGTCAAATGACAAAAAAAAAGTTCAGGTGGAACGGAGGAGGACGCTTGTTATCCAATCTTAGGCTGAGTTGGAACATTATTTTTCGGTTCTGCTATGTGCAAAACTGATATTTGTTAGCAAGGGTGTAGTAGGAATTGTGTGTACAATCCTCTAAATGATGAATGTGATAACAAAAGATCGTAAAAAGATTATACATAAAAAAATACACGGGCAGAGTTTACACCGGACCTTTCAGAATAGTTATTGTACTATGACATATCTTTATGCAACAAATTGTGCATCATTTGTTTCATATTCATTTGTTGCATATCCTATTAACGAAACTTAATTCCTTTGTGAGAAGACTTCGAAAAATATAAATGACATTTATATTTTTTATTTTCGTCGTGTCAACGACTATCTTAACGATTTATGAGTGTTGTATTGACAAACATACTGTCATACGCTCTTTTGTTTTAGGGGAATGAGACCAAGAGATGGTCATACAGAAAGAGGGAGAGAGACACACTATCCCTATATATAACGAAAACTCCATGACATATTTTATATTCAGCGCAACGAGAGTAAGAGATGCAATACACTTGTCTATGAATATTATTCGATTATATGCAATAGTCCATGATACATATGTAAATACATATATATATATCATAAAAATATTATATATATATATATATATCGTCAAATAGATATATGCATGTATATATACATGCAGGGTTGCCGGCGTTCGGAACGGGCCGAACACCCGAACCCGAACGCCCGAACGTTTTGGACCCCTTCTCGACGCGTTCGGATGTTCAACTGAACGCGGAACAAAAAAAAAAAAAAAAAAAAAAAAAAAAAAAAAGTTTCCAAAAATTCTGAAAAAACAAAATGTCATTCAGAAGAATAAACTAAATAACGTTTGCCTCAACAGTACAAGAAAAATCCTTACCAAATTTGAAATAAAAATCAAATACGGAAAATAAATAATATTAATATAAATAAAAAAAATAAAATGAGAATGAAATTATTGCATGGGCGAGCAAGTTTTTGACACCGCCATCTTTGGCGATTTTTCATTTTTTTTTGGATTTTTCAAATGCTATGAAATTTTAAA